TGAAGGTGTAGCTGTGTATATGGAAATAAAGATGCCACATCATGTCGCGTAAATAACACGTACAAAATTAAGAAAAGTTTAAATGCCACGTCATTACCTTATTTGTCCACATCAGCATTTTATCCAGATTGGGTGATTAATGCATCTTGTTCGGCTAAATTGACAACTAAATGTATCTTTACCGTTAGGGACATCATAATATCTCATTTTTTGACAACGTCCCAACTTAGTATATCTTTTCTGAATGTTTTTCTGTTATTATATCATGTAACACTTTTTTTCCAATATATCACGGTCTTACTAAAATACCAAAATGTGATTGAAGAACTTCAAATACATGTTCAACGTCCTTTCTGCATGCTTCTTATTTCATTACAAAATATCTTTTCTCTAGACCACGTGCTCATGAATTGTTTGCACATGGTCGACCATTTTGGATATGTGCTATCAGCTAAATAATAACTCATGTTGTATTCTTTTTCGTGAATTATATAATGAGTTGGAGGAGCATACCTTGGGTTACATATGAGAAAAGATGAGATGATTCTAGTACCTTGATATCGTTAGTATAGTCCGACAAACCGAAAGAAGCATGCCATGTCCAATGATCATAATTTGCTGCAGCTTCAAGAATGATGGTAGGCTTTCAACTACGACCAACATATTGCCCGACCCACGTTGTAGAAAAACTTTTTCACCTTCAATGCATACAATCTAAACTCCCCAATATTCCTGAAAAATCACATTGCTGACCAATATATAGAAGTCCAAAAATATCATTAGATATGGACCTCCTCAGATATCGGTCACTAAATACCTCAACTATTGCTCGACAGAACATTTTCATACTTTCAATTGCAATAGACTCTCCAATTTTGACATACCTGTCCTTAGCATTTGCTGGAACGCCGTATGCCACCATACAAAAGACAACAATAATTTTTTGTATCTGCCAGCTCGAACCACTCGTTGTTAGAAGTAATGATCGTGATCTTTGATTGCATCGATAATTTGAAAGAACAATGAGCTAGACATTCTGTATGGTCTACAAAACATATAGAATGGATTTTCGATAAAATAATTATTGTACAACCTACGATCAGGCTCCTATCGATCACGATTGATAAAAATATGCCCTCCATGGGAGGTTTGATGGTTTTGTTGATAGAGATGTTTTTGAATGATCATGTTGTTATTAGCGATAATACGAGTTATCACTTCTTGTTTTCTACGAAGAGTATTACTAATTAGCATATTGTCATCATCATCAGATGACGAAGATGGCGAATTGCCAAAACTAAAATTCAGTGAAGAGGTTAGAGATCTAGGATAAGAGAAATATGATAAGATGTTTGAAGAGATTAAAGTGAGTGATGAGCATATATTAGGTTTTTTATGCTAGTACATTTGAGAGGTGTGAGAACCTTTGCAGAAAGAGGTAATTTCGGGTAAAATAATTGAGAGACGTGAGGGTCCTTGCAGTGAGTGGTCAATATCAGGTTAGAACATGGAGAAGTTTCAGAACCTCTGTAGAGAGTGGTCATTTAAGGTCAATACATGACAGATATGAGGTACTTGAGTGGTCATTTTTAATCAGAACATGGAGAAGTGTGAGAACTTTGCAAAGAGTATTCATTTCGGGTCAAAACATTGAGAGACAAGATGGCCTTTGCAGCTAGAGGTCATTTTCAGGTCATAACCATGGAGAGGGGTGAGAACTTTTGCAAAGAGTGATTATTTTCGGAACAAAACGTTAGAAGATGTGAATTATTAGCTATAAAAGAAGATGTGGTATTGTAGTAGCTACATCCCAGCATTTTCGTACTATACACTAAACCTTTAGCATATTAACTTCTTGTAAATTGTCGATCCGTTCATCTTCGTATAACCATGATGAAGGTATTCTTTTATTTTGGATTTATATGTTTATCAAGACCCAATTATTGAGGTGTACCAATCATTTTATTGATTTTGCTCCCGTATTGCAGAAGCTTTCAACGAAGAAAAACTTGAGCATTGAGAGGTTCGTACCAAGAGATCTATGCAAGCACGAATTCAAACAATCAAGAAAGCAACCAAAAGACTCTATGTAGAGCTGGTCTTGTCCTTTGTTAGGCCTTGGGCCAAATGTGGAAAATAATGCCCATTTTCATTTGCAATTATGAAACTTATACAGATCTCAAGCCGCGTAATAAGATTTCAATAAGTACGTTGTTTCATGCTGCGGAGTTTATCATATAATTTAACGATGAATCCCTGCACTGTGTGGTTTTGGAATGAATGCATGATATAACTTCTATGAGATCAACTCGATTTTCTTTATATATAAAACTATCTTACCAAACTAAAGTTATTTAGATGCATGACGGTAATAAGCGATTCTAAATACACGTCATCATAAGTATGAACATCATTAATTTACATAAAATTTATATAATTATGTATAAGTAAAATATTTTATTTATTTAAATCCTTATTCTATTTATTATATTTTTATTGAATTACAACTCATACTATTTTACACTTTATTACCTAGTTGAATGTCTTTTTATTTGATGATATTTATTAATTAAAATAAATAGTGATTATATAATACATAGGACAATAAGAAAAAAAATAAATAAAATGAAATAAGATTAACTAACAAATAGTTAAATATTGTACTTAGTTGGTTTTGATTTAGAATTTCAGTAAAGTTTCGTAAGAACTTTAATTATTGTTAATGAAGTTCTTTAATATTTATTGAAAAGCATGCAATATTTTTATTGTTTTAGTGGCTTTATACAATATGCATTTAGTATATTGAGATATAAAATTGAGTTAATTGTATGCATTGGGCCTAAGATTTCAATATATTAAAATTCAAATATTAGATGCTCTTTTTTTAATTGGGCCCTGGCATGGGCCTTGAGCTATTGCTCAGGTCTTCTTGGGCCAGGACCAATCCTTACTCCATGCATGCATAAAAGCAGTAGAAGATAAGCATCACAGTGGCGCTTCAAATGAATATACAATGAGTATTAAAATCTTATTATATTTTTTTGGTTATCTAATTTATTATTTGTATGAGCTATGGTTAATTATTTATTCCAAATTGTAGATGCTCAAAGCAAAAGTGTTCACACTAGTTTTCAAATTCAAATCCAAATCCAAATATGACCATATTTGGGATATTATTAAAAATTTTGAAAAATTTAAGGATAGCGCTTTGAGGAGCAAGAAAAAACAATTTGGTCATTACCCCATTTGGAGTCAGAGAACCCAACTCCCCAGTCTTTTGTAATATCTTCGGGCATTTCTTTATTTTCTTTAAAATTAGACGACTCGGGTCAAATTTTCGGTGGTCCTCCGTCTGAAAGACCTATTGGGGGTGAAGAAAGTCAAACTGAAAAGGAAGATAAATGATGATTCATCATCAATCATCAACACCATGCAGGAAGCAAACAGTAAACTTCATGAGAAGCGGAAAATAAAGAGACATACGAACAATTGAAACATCGAACAAAGATACAAAACAAATCCAATGCTTTAAAAGAAATGAGGGAAGTAAACAAAATGTTGTTTCAAGATGTCAGTTCCATAAAATATCCTCGACATCGAGTTCATCGAGTGTATATTGAAGGTGAAGACATGAATTTTGGAGAAAATAGCTCAACAAGCCCAATAGGATCCATTTCCAACCAAGACATTTTGACAGTTTTTCAATAATTTGGAAAGAAGTGGTGCCAACTTCTAGATTACTAAATATATGTTGTTAGTTTTGCAATTTGTGATGTATTTCTCTTTTTTGTATGTGTTAGAGTTACACAATTTATGATGTAGTTTTATACTCAAATGTTCTATGTTATCTTTCAATTTGATAATATTAATATTTTCTATGTGCTAAATTCGAAGTCATTAATTTTATTATTAATATGGTGTGTAGTATCTTTTAAACATGTACTAATAAATATCAAAAAAATATTTATTAAATAAGTAAAAACTCCTCTAATTATGTAAGTTATTATATATTTTATTTAACAAAAAAACTATTATATTTT